TTGCTAAAATCAAGGTATACCACATCCGATGGTCTCCCCACATCCGCAGAATCAGTCATCTCATCAGAGAAAGGCAATCAGGTTGGTCAGGCATGACTTGCCCTTGGTGAATCCATGCTGATTGTTTCTAATTAGCTTCTCCAAGTGCTTAGAAATGGATTCCTTGAGGACCTGCTTCATGATTTTCCAAAAACTGGGGTGAGGCTGACTGGTCCATAGTCCCCTGGATCTTCCTTTTTCCCCCTTCTTAAGTGTGGGCACTATGTTTGCCCTTTTCCAATCATTCAGGACCTCTCCTGATCACCATGAGTTTTCAACGATGATGGCCAGCAGCTCTGCAGTCACATCAGCCAACTCCCTCAGCACCCTTGGGTGCATCCCATCCAGTGCCACGGACTTGTGTATGTCCAGCTTTTCTAAATACTCTGTAACCTGTTCTTTCGCCACTGTTGGCTGCTCACCTCCTCCCCAAACTGTGCTGCCTGGTGCAGTAGTCTGGGAGCTGACCTTGTCTGTGAAGACTGAGGTGAAAAAGGCATTGAGTACTTCAGTCTTTTCTACATCCTGTGTCACTAGGTCACTTTCCCCATCCAGTAAGGGACCTACATTTTCCCTGATCTTCCTTGTTACTGACATACTTGTAGAAACCTTTTTTGTTACCCTTCACATCCCTTGCCAACTGCGACTCCAATTGCACTTTGGCCTTCCTGACTTGATCCCTGCATGCCCAAGCAATGCTCTTATACTCCTCCCTAATTGTCTGTTCAAGTTTCCACTTCTTATAAGCTTCCTTTTTGTGATTTAGTTTACTGAAGAATTCCTTGCTAAGCCAAGCTGGTCTTCTGCCATACTTTCTTAGTCTTCCTGCACATCAGGATGGTTTGTTTCTGTACTCTCAGCAAGGCTTTGTCAAAATACAGCCAGCTCTCCTGGACTCCTCTCCCCGTCAGACTGGCTTCCCAGGAGATTCTGCCCATGAGTTCCCTGAGTGAGTCAAAGTCTGCTTTTCTGAAGTCCAGGGTCCTTATTGTGCTGCTCTCCATCCTTCCTTTCCTCAGGATCCTGAGCTCAATTATCTTATGGTTACTGCTGCTCAAGTTGCCCTCTACTAGTACATTCCCCACCAATTCTTCCCTACTTCTGAGCAGCAAGTCAAGAAGAATACAACCTCTAGCTGGCGCCTCCAGCACTTGTACCAGGAAGTTGTCCCCAAAAACTCTTCCTGGATTGCCTACACACTGCTGTATTGTCCTCCCAGCAGATGTCAGGGTGACTGAAGTCCCCCATGAGAACCAGAGCCTGTGATCGGGAAACTTCCGCTAGCTGTTTGAAGAAAGCCTCATCTACCATTTCCTCCTTGTCTGGTGGTCTACAGCAGGCCCCCCCCCTCCCATGACATCACACTTCTGCCCTTTCTCCCCAAAGCTGAACACTCACTCTGCCCCACAGAATCCAATCTCAGCCTGATTCTTCAGTCTCCATTCTCATCCCAATCCAAAATATCCCACCCCAACCTTAATTAAATCCATATCCCTTGCCCTCATTCCAGGTTCTTAACTTAACTAGCCCCATTGCTCCTCCTGAACTCAAGTCCCTTATCAAATCCATCTCTCCTCACCTACTTCACCCAACCCATTGAATCTCTGTCTCAACTTCCACCTCTCAAGTCCAACTCCCTGTTAGCACCCAATACCAATGTCTAGTCTTCTCCACTCAGTCTAATTCTCCTGCCTCTGCAGGTCTTGCTCTCATTCTATCTGCATTCAAATTATGCAGCTTTTTCCTCCTTAATGCTACCTGGGCTCAGATGGTGGTAGTGCAGCCTCTGAGAGCACAAGGAAGACAGGCTTCCTGCTCTTAGCTCAATTGCCCAATCCTAGAGCAGCCCAGAGGTGCAACTGCAGGGAAGTCCTCCTCAGTCCTGTGCTGGAGCACACCCAGTTTCCAGAGAAGCCTGTGGAAATTTAGTTGCTGATCTCTAAAAAGGTCAGTCCTGACCAACTGTCCTTCAGAGACTTACATCTGACCAAGCTGGGGCAGATTTTCCATGGGGACAACAAAAATGTCTCCCTTATATTAAAAGCAAGCCCTGCCAAAAATGCTAAGAGTTTTTCCAAAGGAAGAATTACTTTTATTATTGTTAATGTGGGGAGAAAGCTGCATTTTCAGCCTGAGGCAGACACATGGCATGATACATTTCAGCCTAATGGTTTATATTTGCCATAAGTATAAGGAAGCAAAAATTCTTCTTAGACTAGAAAGTGCTGAGCAACCTTAATGCATCATGTTACTAGTCCCACCTATTATGTAAGCTTATATGGTAAATGAGGGTCCAAACCACCAAGGTCTAATTAATCTCTTTGTAAGTTTGGAGCAGTCCAATCAAGGTCACTGGAGTAAGTCAGGTTCTAATAGCCAAGATTTTACTTAGTCATTCTTTCCTCCAAATTCACCTAGCATTCCAAGACCTTTATTTTAGGGCACTCACTTTAATATCTATGTGTCACTCTCTCACCCAATTAAAATCATCCTCACAGCCTCTCCTTCAGTGATTTTTTTGATGAAATCAACAACCTGTTCTTTGAAAGCAGGAAGCTTGCAATCAAAGTACTGCCAACCCTGTGGGAAGGTCCATATAATGGCCTTGCATTATGTTCTAAAAATGATGTGAAGCAAGAAAAAAGTGGGCAAGCAGCTGAAGACTCTGTAGTCTTCAAAATTACCTGCAAGCAGATACAACAGCCACAAAGATTCCCCTCCGTCTGTCTAAACAGCACAAGTTTCTGAAACAAAATAACCCCCTCCCCAAAGCAACATTTAATTGTTTGGGCTCAGCCATATATACTTCTCTTCATAGACTGCTAATTAGGGTTCCCATTAGGGTGAACCAGGGAAGTCATTCATACAGACTCATTTTACATGAAAAAGTAGTCAGACAGTCATGGCTTCCATTCACTATGGATCTAGCAGTAAAAGATTTTTTTTATCCCATTAACATGATTGTAAGAATTTTTCTTAGGTCTGAGTAAGCAGTCAAAACTTATGTTAAAAAAGAGTCACAGAAGGGGTTTTAAGATACAAGAAGCTGAATTTTAGATTCCAATAAATACAGCAGGA